CAACACCATCATCATCATCGTCGTCGTTCCCATCGCCATCGTCATCTTCATCAACATCACTATCGTCGTCGTCATCATCGTCACCATACCTACCCGTGCCCCTGGAATCAACACCCTCGTCGCCACAATCATCATCACCACCATCATCATCGCCTAATTATCATCATAACGCTCGCCATCCGCATCAACAACGGCCTCATCACCAACCTCGCCACCACAATCATAATCGTCGTCGGCATCAGCATCAAATGCACCGTCAACATCATCGACACCATCATCTTTCACATATTCCCCGCTGTCACCAGCGCCATACCATCGGCATCAACATCAACATCAGCATCATCAACAGCATCATTACCATCATCAGCATACTCGTCATCATTAGCATCACCATCACCATCACCATTGTCGTCGTCAGAACCATGACCATCATCATCATGGTCATCATCAGGAGCATACCCGCCACCACCTTTACCCCCATCATCATCAAACACAACACGACCCAACATCACCAACATCATCATCATCACCACCGTCTCAAGCGAGGAATCATTATGCGAGAGAGAGAAAGAGAGAAAGAGAGAGGGATAGATAGAGAGAGAGAGAGAGAAAGAGAGAGAGAGAGAGAGAGAGAAGAGAAAGAGAGAGAGAGAGGAAAAGAGAGAGAGAGAGAGAGAGAGAGAAAGAGAGACAACGAGAGAGAGGGAGAGAGAGAGAGAGAGAGAGAGAGAGAGCGAACGGCAGCTCAATTCTGATGTACATTGCGAGGAACTATCGAGCGAGAGCTCGACTCCTCAGTAAAATGTGCAGAAGGTTTTAGTGACAAGTCTAGGCGACAAAGTGTAAATGGTAAAGAGATTGAAAGCGAGAGCGCAAATCCTGGACAAATCGCGAGGACGAGTCGAACGAAAACGCGATTCATTAGAGGATTGGGGAGCCCCCAAAAATCCGTTGGACTCCCTCTGAATCTTGAAGAATCCTCCGGGCTCCGTCGGGATCCTCTGAAACCCAGAGGAATCCGAATGACTCCTCTGGAATCCAGCGAAATCCATCGGAATCCGAACTCGCTGGGAATTCACAAGAATCCGATGGAATCCGCAGGAATCCACAGGTTCCCCGAGGATTCCTTCAGAAATTCTCTGAAGAATCCTGAAGGATCCTCAAGAAACCCAAGAAATTCAAATCGCTCCGCACACACCCGTAAGAATTCCTGAGAATGCCCCGGATTCTCCAGGAATCCAAACGGATTCTCAGGAATGCAGGAATGCCAAGGATCCCATCGGAATCTCGTAGGTGCAGCGCCCCCCCCCGATGCGATGCGATGCGCCCCCCCTCCCCCCCTCCCCCGGGGGGCTTCTGAAACCCGTCGTTCTCAACAACAAGAACACCAACACCACCACCAACACCACCACCAACACCACCAATAATCATGTTAAGACTGTTCGCTCCTATCTGCTCACGTGCCAATCAATACGCATATCCCAAACCCTCGGTACCCGCCCTCGTCGTCTTAGATCGTACCCCCTTGGGGGTATATCTTCCTTACCTGCCACGTGCATTTAGTGCAGCCCCTAAAACAAGGGAAGAGAAGACGGGTGGAAGAGGTGGGGAGAAACATAGAACACGAGAGAAATTAGCAGGAGGGGGGCAAGGAGCAGAAAACAAGTGGTATAATCAGACGGGCAGATCGGGCGGGCAGACCCATAGCGGTCAGGTCGGGAAGGCGGGCCCAGGCGACCAGGTCGAGCAGGCGGGTTGCTGAAGAGTGGGTCCTGCGTGAATCGCGAGGAAGCTTGGAGCGACAACGCGATTTCAAAATAAATCTCGTGAGGAAATCCAAAGCGAGAGCATGAATCCTGAGTGTCGAGGGCGCGGCGCCTGAATCAATTGCGAGGAAGTCCCAAGCGTCAGCGCGATTCCTGAGTGTCGAAAGAGCGACGCCTGAATACATTGCGGGGGAATATCAAGCAAGAGCGCGATTCTTTAAATACATTGCAAGGAAGTCCCTAGCGAGAGCGCGATTTTTCAAAACATTGCAAGGAAGTATCCGGCGGTGACCGTTGTTGTTGTTGTTGTTGCTGTTGTTGTAAACCACAAGCCCGGGGCACGGTTTGAGCAGGAATACTTTCCCAGGTAAAAGCGCAGTGAGGTTCGGGAGGGACGGGAGGGACACTTCAAAATTGAAAAACACGTATGTAACGCGAATGCGTGAGTCCTGCGTAGTTCGCCAGGAAGTCTCGGGCGAAAGCGCAAGTCCTACGTAAATCATGAAATCCCAAGCGACAGCGCGATTCCTGAATGGCGAGGGCGTGGCGCCTGAATAAAATTGCAAGGAGGCTACAGGCGAGAGCGCGATTTTTGGATGCACTGCGAGGAAGTCCCTAGCGAGAGCGCGACTCCTCAGTGAATTGCGAGGAAGTAGCAGGCGGGAGCCGCTGATGTCGTAAACTTGGGGCCAGGGGCGCAGTTTGAGGAGGAAGACTGTCCCTGATGAAAATCAAGGTGCGAGCCCTGGGAAGGGCACTTCAATTGAAGAAACGCATATGTTACCGGAGGGGGGCTCAACAATAACTATTCCTTGATCGTAAGAAATCAACAACAACAGCGGCTCCCGCCTGATACTTCTACATCGTTTATTTCAAATCGCGCTCTCGCGCGTGACTTCCTCACAATGTGTCAAGGAATCGCGCTCTCGTGTGGGCCTTCCCCGAAATTTATGCAAACGCCGCGCCCTCGACGCTCAGGGATCGCGCTCTCGTGCTTGAGTATCTCGCGATTTACCTGGAACGCGCGCCATCACTCGAGACTTCCTCGCGAATCATGCAGGACTCACGCTTCGGCAACCCGCCTGCTCGAACTGGTCGCTTGGGCCCGCCTTCCGACCCGCCCGTTCGCGTCTACCCCCCCGATCAGCCCGTCTGGTGTTTTCTGATCCTAGCCCCCGTCCTGCGAATCTCTACAGTGCTCCATCCTTCTCCCTCCCCCTTCCATCCGTCCTCTCTTCAATTTTTGTTTGGGGCTGCGCCAATTACACGTGGCAGGTAAGGAAGGTACACCCCCTAAGGGGTACGATCGAAGACGGAGGGGGCGGGTAGCGAGGGCTTGGGATCTACGTGTTGGGTGGCATGCGAGCAGGTGGCCACGAGCAATCTTAAACATCATCGTTGCTGTTGTTGCTCTTGATAATGCTGCTGATGCTGCTGTTGCTGAGAATTGTGAATTTCGGGGATCCTTTGACCCGGGTCAATCCAGACCCGGGTCAGCAGGAAACCAAAAAACTGCAATGCAGGAAACAAAAACTGCATCGCAAGTCTTCGCAAACCCGGGTCAGCCAATAGACGCGGCCGCCTCGCGGCCACAATCGGCTCGCTAACCCGGGTCAGCCAGAGGGGGTCTTCGCAGGATCCTGCAGGATCCGGTGTCCTGGCTGACCCCCCGTTTGCATTGACCCCCGTCTCAAGGCTCCCGAGAATTTCGCGCACTCGCCTTTCAGGGCTTCTGCAAGCCGTGAGCGGTCCGCGAGGCACCCCCGAAGACCAGCCCATCGCGGCCCAAGAAGCCCCCAAAGACGGCCAAAGAGGGGCTCCCAAGACGGCTCCAGGAGGAGCCCAAGAAGGGGAACTCGCAGAGAAACGGGCCCCCCCCACAAGATGACCCCAAGACCCCAAACATGCCCACCAAGAGGCCACCAAGGAGCTCCCAGGAGCTCTGAAAAAGGCTTCCACAAGGCCGCCCTCGAGGCCTCCAACGGTTCAGGATTTTCGATCTGTTGTCTTCCAGCGGGGCACTACCCTCGGCGGAAATGGGTCCTCGTATGGGGCCTGCGAAGAGGGAGCTTGGAGGGAGGGTTTATTGCAACATCGTTGATGATTCTTGGGTTTTCACACTGGTCCTCCTCCTCCTCCTCCTCCTCCTCCTCCTTGTCGGGTCGGGTCAGGTCCGATCGCGCGTGGAGGCCGCACGCGCCCCACAAGCGGAGACGCACACACACTTTTTTCGTCGGCGGCGAGGCAGGGGCAATCCGCTCCAGCGTGTGGCTAATCGGGGCAGCCGAGATGCGCATTGTCCGGCGAGCAAGAGGAGGGAAGCCCTGCCCAAAACGTAGGAAGCACACAGTGTTCATGGCCTCGTGAAGCCCTCGTGGGAGCCATCCAGAGGGCCTCGAGGGCTGCCTTCGGGCCCTCGTGGACCGCCCCGACGCCATCACAAGTGAAATACAACCCTCGTCAAAATTAACCTCAAAATGGCGGGCACGCCCCTTCGATGTCGGCGCGCCCCTTCAATGTCGATAAGACGCCCCTTCAATGTCGGGGCCAGGGCAGATGTGGTGTGACCGGGAGCGACTCGAAAATTCAAAGATGACCGACATTGGAGGGGCGGCGCATACAAGTACATCGCACTCATCGGCACTCGGTCCGATATCTCCCACAATCAGTTCAGCTACGTGAGGCATTTTTGAGGTTATTTTTGACGAGGGTTGTAGGAACGCTTTTTAGCGAAATAGGAACATTTTGTGGGCGGCCGCTCGACGCACACACACAAAGCCGTGCACCCGAGAGTCGATCCCCCCCCCAAGCTGTCGAGCTCGACGCCGATACCGACGTCGGCGACGTCGGCGTCGTCGGCGTCGTCGGCCTCGTCGTCGTCGTCGTCGTCGTCGTCGTCGTCGTCGTTGCCGTCGTCGTCGTCGTCGTCGTCGTCGTCGTCGTCGTCGTCGTCGTCGTCGTCGTCGTCGTGGTCGTCGTCGTCACCGCCTCCACCGCCGCTCGTCGTCGTCGTCGTCGTCGTCGTCGTCGTCGTCGTCGCCGCCACCGTCGTCGTCGTCGTCGTCGTCGTCGTCGTCGTCGTCGTCGTCGTCGTCGTCGTACCTGTCCGTCGTCGCCGTCCTCGTCGTCGGACCTGTTCGTCGGCGCCGTCCTCGCCTCGTCGCTGGGTGTCGTGCTCGGCGTCGTCGCGGCCGTCGGTCGGTCGTTGGCGCGGCGCCGCGGGGCGGCCGCGGCCTGCCGATCTCCGCCAGCGGGTTCCACTTCTGCCGCGCGCCGCGCGCCGCGGGGCTGGCCGCCGGCGGGGCCGCCGGGCCGTGCGCGCCCGCGTGCCGCTGCGGGGAGAAGTCCTCCGCCATGTCCTGCGGGAGGGTCGGAGAGGAGCCCTCCTCCTTCCTCACTCCTCACTCCCTGCTTGCTCCTCCTCCCTCTCTCCCTCCTCCCCCCTCCCTCCTCCTCCTCCTCCTCCTTCTTCCTCCTCCTTTTCTTCTTCGTCTCCTCCTTTGCCTCCCTCTCTCCCTTCCTCACCCTTTCTCTCTCCCTCCTCCACGCTGTCGTCGTTGCCACCTCCGTCGTCGTTGTCGTCGCCGTCCGTCTGCGGGGGGGCGTCGTCGCCGCCGCCGTCGCCGCTCGTCTTCGCCGTCGAGCAAATCGCAGCTGAAGCCGCCGCCGTCGCCGTGGCCGTCGCCGCCGCCGCCGTCGCCGTCGCCGCCGCCATCGTCGTCGTCGTCGTCGTCGTCGTCGTCGTCGACGTCGTCGACGTCGTCGTCGATGCAATCGCAGCTGAAGCCGCCGCCGCCGTCGCCGTCGCCGCCGCCGCCGTCGCCGCCGCCGCCGCCGCCGTCGTCGTCGTCGTCGTCGTCGTCGTCGTCGTCGTCGTCGTCGTCGTCGTCGTCGTCGGCGTCGTCGGCGTCGTCGGCGTCGTCGTCGTCGGCGTCGGGGGCGGCGGCCTCGTCGTGATCGCCGTCGTAGACGTCGTCATTGTCGTCGTCGTCGTCGTCGTCGTCGTCGTCGTCGTCGTCGTGGTCGTCGTCGTTTTCCAGCGCGTCGGCGGCGTCGTGATCGACATCGTGGGTGTCGTCGGGAGAGGGTGGGGGAGAACGACGAGCGGTGAGCAGGGAGGAAGGACAGAGGGTGTTGGAGGAGGGAGGATTGAGGACCGGGGGTGATCGAGGATGCGGAGGAGGAGGAGGAGGGAGGAGGGAGCGAAGGAGGAGGGAGGAAGGAGGGAGGAGGGATGGGAGAGGAGGAGGAGGAGGAGCGAGGAGGAAGAGGAAGAGGAAGAGGAGGATGATGAGGAGGAGGAGGAGGGAGAGGAGGAGGAGATGGGATGGATGGACGGATTGAGGGATGGAGGGATAGAAGCATTGAGGAATAGGGAGGGAGCGAAGGGAGGGAGGGTGGGAGGGAAGCAGGGAGGGAAGGAGGTAGGGAGGGAGGGAGGAGGAGGAGGAGGTCAAGGAGGAGGAAGAGGCGGAACGTCGTCCTCGGCGGCGTCGCCGTTCAATATTCGAATATACGGGTGTTTGGAAACTGGCAGGCTTTCTTGGGCATCCGGAGCGGGTTTCGTCGCCACTTCCGGATTCTCCGCGAATCCCTGGCCAGAACGAACACCAGGAGCGGCCCGGGGGTCGTCGTCGGCGGCGTCGTGGTGGTTGCGCCGCCGTCGTCGGTGGCGTCCTTGGCGGTGTTGGCGTGGGGGCGGGGGAACAATGATGAGGTGATGATGATGCTGATGATGATGCTGATGATGATGATGATGATGATGATGATGATGATGATTCTGATGATTATGCTGATGATGATGATTCTGCTGCTGCTGCTGCTGCTGCTGATGATGATGATGATGATGATGATGATGATGATGATGATGATGGGGATGATGCTGATGAGGATGATGATGACGATATTGATGATGGTGCTGGTGATGACGATGAGGAGGAGGAGGAGGAGGAGGAGGAGGAGGAGGATGGGGATGATGATGCTGCTGATGATCATGGCGATGATTGTGATGAGGAGGAGAGGAGAAGGATGATGAGGAGGCGGATGATGAGGATTATGGTAAGGGGGATGATGATGATGATGAGGAGCAGGGAAGCGGATGTCGAGGAGGAGGAGGAGGGCCATCATAGGCCCAGCCACCTTCGTCCAGGAATCTTTACTTTCCGAATGACATGCAGACTCCCGATCATCTCGAAGTTCAGCCAAGGACAGGGTCCGACCAAACTGACGCGATTGCAACAACCACACTTCAAGACGATGACGGACGATCGGGACCTCGGGGCCAAACCAAGTAAGGCCGTCTTCCAACATAATGACTGCCGACAGCGAGCGCATGCGGGCAGCAGGCTTGATCGTGAAGGCTGCTGCTCTACGAACCTTTGAAAGCTCAGAATTACACATCCCGAACAACATGCACCCGTACTGAACTCTTGGAATAAGTCTGCTCCTGCAGGTTCTCAGGTCTGTCTCCCGCGGTTGTAGCTCTGCTGCTTGACACGCTTTGCCTTGCGAAATAAAAAAGGTGCCTGGCGAACTTTAACCTTGGCAGGGCGCTTCTTCTGACGCCTCAGCAACCCAGCAGTGGCATCGACCCCCCCCCATTTGCGACGTGATAGTGGGATGTGGCCCAGCGAAGCCCCCCAACATAATCCAGGAGAGCCATTGCGGCTGCTGGGTTGGAACTAAATCATAGCGATCTCGTCCTCTGCAATCCGAGCCTCCATGTCGTCAGTATGGCCTGATGAAGCTCGTCAGCTGCGGAACATACCTCACACACTACCTGCAATAGAGGCCCAACTGATGAGAAAGTGTTTTCGTAAAAGTAACTATGAACTCTCGTGATAATCGGCATCTGAACCTGGTCGTAATCCTGGATGGAGTTGATGCGGACCTGGGTGGTGGCGAAACTGGAGCCTGCCACCGTACTTCGAAACGCAAGCCACGGGCCGTTGATACAACCAACCATCGAAACAAAGCCTGGACACCAGATCAGCAGCGAGAGTAGTGCAGACAATCGCAGGAGGAAGACCGAGCCGAAGAGCGTCCGAGTCAAGCCGATGTAAGTTGTTTCGATTGTGATACGTCTGCATATCTCATAGGCAGCCACGTCTCCTTCTGCCACGCCTGCTTCGGCTCGACAAGACTGGCGACACACGACGTCCAGCGCGCCGCGATGGTAGCCAGCGGGAACAACAATTCGCGCTCGCGGCTGAGCTCACATTCGGGCATACAACGGCGACGGAGTCCCCCTTCCAAATCGATATGAAATGATAAAGACGGGAGATGTGGATGTGCAATGAGAACAGCATTCGATTGATGGGGAAGGAGGGCCAGGCTCTCCATCATATAGATCAGGCGGGCGACCAGTCGAAAGTAAAAGCGATCGGCTGCAAGTGCATAGGCTTCCGTATACTGCCTGGCCATGCTCCTGGTGGTGTCTGGCTCCAAGCGGGGAAGCGAGGCTATCGAAGGTCTGGGGTCTCCGCAGGAGGACCCTTGATACCCTCCCAGTACCCTCCAAGCTTCTCACCTTCATGCTGGGGCATGTCCACGGGGCCCGAGACCACGCAGCCCCCGGCCAAAGGGTGCTAGTGGTCGCTTCCTCCTGGTCTAACCTGCGCGTCAGCCACACTTGCCAATCCTGCTGCGCAGCCGTGATGTACTTGGAGGAGCACCCGCCAATCAACTGAGCCAATGAACCCTCGAGGACCTGATAAATTTCGATGTACCTGTCCGTGATGCGGACCGTCGGGTCCCACGCCTCCAACACATTCGAAACGTGACGGGATATGCCCGACGACGCACCCATGTGCTTTCCGACGTATGTCGGGACCAGGGCCAGGGAATACAGCAACTCGATACCGGCGGGGCTCAGAGGCTCGGCAACCGACGGGCATCTGTTTATGCTCAAAATTCGGGTGGCCAGGAGGAAGAACAAGAGAGGATGATCAGGATGACGAGGAGGAGGGTTAGGAAGGATGATAACACGGAGAAACGACAGCAGCAGGAGCAGGAGTACGAGGAGTGGAAGGACTGGGGGAAAGCGGACGAGGGGAAATGCGCGGGGCGACAGCCATCGATGAGGAAGGAGTCGGATCCAGAATTGTGGCCCTCGCTTGGGCGAGACGGTATTCTGAACGACGGGAACAAAGCGCCGATACTAACATGAGGCCGACGCTGCAGCGGGAACGACACATCGAAACACCGACAAAGATCCGATTGAAACACGCCGTATGGAAACACAACCGTTACAGCAGCATGCATGAAATAAGGAGACCGTTGGGATAAGAGGGGGGGAGGGGAGTATCTATTGTTGAGTAAGTGTTGAGGGGAGCGGGGGTGGGAGGTGGGAGGAGGTGACGGGGGGCGGGGGAACGAATGGGGAGTGTAAAGGGGGGGAGTGAGGAGTGGGGAGAGAAGGGCTGGCGTCGGATCTTGGACTGACGGAGGTAGATCATATTCTAACTCGCATGCGTCTAGTGGGGAGGAGAAGGGAGGAGGGAGAGGGGGAGGGAGGGAGAAGCAGGATGATGATGACAGGAATGATGATGATGATGATGATGATGATGATGATGATGATGATGATGATGATGATGCTGATGATGATGATGATGATGATGAAGGTGATGATGACGATGATGGTGCTGACACTGATGATGACGGTGATTACGCTGGCCCTCGACACAAGATCTAATGCACATGACGTGGTGATATCATGAAGACAACAAAGGCGCGGCCCGTCGCGGAGAGGATGTCTCTCGTTAGACCCCGCACGGGGGCGACGCTTGATGGGTGCTGCACTGGGGAGCGAGCATGCCAGAGAGCGGTGGGGTTATCCATGCAGAGCGGCTGCTGGCCGTCCAATGTCTCCAGCCAGTGTCCCACCTCGTCCTCGAGCCAGCCCGCTGGGGCCACTCCGTGATGATGAACCACCTAGCCTTCGGATCTGAAGGCCCGCATGATCAACTTCCTGCCCTCCAGCCCAGGAGCTCCAATGTTGAGCTTCATCGTCTCCTTATCGTAGGAGTTCTCGAATCGTGCGAAGCTGATCTGGTCTTTGAGGTCGCCCTGAGAAATTTTTGGTAGCATGTTCTCGTCGGGCGGGTTGATCTTGTGCAGGTACTCGACGATCTCGTTCTTCAGGGCGGCTCCGATGCCGCACTTCGCGAGGCCCTCCAGGGTCGCGAGGCCCAAGCTGGGCGCTGGGGTGCCCATCTTCTTTCTGCCTGTCCTCCGCCGAGCGTGGCGCAGCGAGTCCAAGGTCGCCTTGTAGCCCTCCAGCTCGTTGCTCACCGCGTCGATGACGGGGTGGGTCTTCTTGCACGTGTATGTGTCCGTCACGAGCAAGCTGTTGAGCCTCGTCCTGCGCGCGGTCTGTAGCACCATCTTCGGCGTCGACTTCAAGAGTGCCAAGAGGTTCTTGTCTTTGCCGGGCCACTGCTTCTCGGACTGGTGCCCCCGCCGCGTCCGTCGTCCGCCTCGACGTCTCCTGCGTTGAGGCTCTGCGTCTTGATCCTTGCCCTTGCCGTCGCCTTTGTCGTCCGCGGTCCCCCCTTTCGGCGGTGGTTGGCCCCTCGGCCGTGGCTTGGCCACTGGCGGCTGAGCGGGCCTGGATCCTTCGCCAGATGTCGCCGAGCCCTTCGATCGCGCCTCCAGGTGCTCGAGTGTTGTGTGTTGACGATGATAATGATGATGCTGCTGCTGATGATGAGGAGGAGCAGAACGAGGAGGAGGAGGAGGAGGAGGAGGACGAGGAGGAAGAGGAGGAGGAGTAGTAGGAGGAGGGACGTGAGACGGAAGGGGTGAGACGCTGCATGGGGGGCAGCAGCGAGGGGGCGGCGACCGACATCAGAAGGGCCGACGCCTCTGCCGGGCTTCAGCTGAAAATGCCCCACGCGGCGTCGTTCTCCGACAACAGGCCCGACCGGTCCAGACCGGCCGCGCCAGGCCCAGGCTCGCCGAGCCCGGCGCGGGAGGGCGCCAACCATTTTCGGCGGCGCGCCGAGGGGGGGCAGGCAGAGGGGGCAAGCCTCCTCGGAAGCCCTCCAGCCTTCTGAGGAAAGCCCTCCGCGGCTGCGGAGACCTGTAGAGGGACATGCCCGACTTGAATATAGTACCTCCCCCCCCTCGAGCCTACCCCCCCGAACGCTGCCCCCAAGTACAGTTGGCGCCTTCCGGCGACGGGTCCGTGCTGGCGGCCGCCGCCTCCGCGCTCGGCCCCCTCGCCCTCGGACGCCGCGGGAGCGGCGCCGCGGGCAGCGAGGGGCGGCCCGCCGTTGACGCGCGCGCCCGCGCCCCACCACGGGAGAACCTCCTCGCTGGGCGGCAGGCCGGGGTGGACGAAGAGGTGGGGGGGGACGATGTCCAAAAGGGGTTGGGGTCTGGAGCCCCGCCGGGCTGTGCAAGAGGCTGTCCCGGGCAGGTAGTCTTGTCGTCATGAATCATTACCAATGTCCGGGGGGGTGTCTGGGGATTTTTAAGATTCGATTCATGTTCCATTGAACGTAGAAGCGAATCACGGGAGCCTTGTATACCCTCGCAATTCCGTCTTTAGAGTGCGTTGGCGTCGATTAGCGCCTGGTAATCGATGAGATAGCGACGAATTAGCGTCCATTGGCGACGATCGGCGTCGATTTAGCATTGATCTGCGTCGATTCGCCAGAGCCAGCAAGATGGTGTGGGAGGCTCCCATGGGTTGCCGCAGAAGGGGGGGGTCGAACATTTTCGGCCATTTCTCGGAAGCTTTCGAGGCCCGGGGTGGTCTCCCATCAGCTGCGCCCGGGCGAGACTCTTTCGGGGGGTGCCTGGATCGTCCCCAGCGGCCGCCGGAGAGTCGAGTTTTGACCCGACCAAAAAAACCAAGGGGCAACGCTACTGGCCATCGCTCGGACGTCCATTTCCTGTGTTTTTTTCGGCTTCGTGCGTGGTTTTTTCGCCAAAATGATCAAGGATGCTCCTCGATGGTCCTCGCCGAAGGAAAAATGCACACGTCCGAGCGATGCCAAGGCTAATTAGGGGGCATGGGGCTCAGGGGGGAGCGATGCAGTCGGGAACTCTTGCTTCGCGTGTCGCGGCGGCGGCGCCGGCGACACGCTGCATGCCCTGTATAGGCAGCATGGCGTGTTGCTCCGCTCCGCGTGGCGGGTTGGCTGGGCGGGAGGAGGAGGAGGAGGAGGAGGAGGAGGAGGAGGAGGAGGAGGAGGAGGAGGAGGAGGAGGAGGAGGAGGGAGGAGGAGGAGGAGGAGGAGGAGGAGGGAGGAGGGGGGCGCGAATCATGGCCGGCGACATGTGCGCGGCCCAGAGGGTGGGCCAGAGACGTCATGCAAACGGGAAGAGGCGCCATGACATCTGAGGAAATATCCTGGCCGGCGCCATCTTGGGTCGGGCCCTTCAGGCGGATGTTGGAGGAAAACAAGAAATAGTCAAACATGTTCAAAAGTGGCCCCAAGTAGTATAATCATCGTCCCCGGACTATGTTCTGACTATGTTTGAAGATTCCTTCTCTAGAGGGACACGCGCGACTTAACCCTAATCATCACCCCCTCTTGGCCGCCCCCGGGCTGGGAAAAGCTCGGGACGTTTTGATGCTCTGGGGCCGGGGCGTGGCTAACTGTAGCGTGCCGCGCCGATAGGCGTGGTGTGGGCCAGGACCGGCGGCGCAGAAGGCGGAGCCAAACAATTGCCAAGAAGAAGGGGCCGACTGGCTCACGGGGGGGAGGGAACTAAATGCCCCAGGTTTGAAGGGGCCCTGGGACACACGCAAAGAAATAGACACATATCCCAGGATTCCCAACATCCCAGGATTCCCAACATATTTTCTCTGAACATTTTTGGGGTTTTAGTCTCCCCCCCACTTCCCATACCTTAACATATTCTTCCTGGGGGTCGACGATCCATCTCGTCGGTGTGTTCCTTCCCCCCCTGAAGATTCGACGATCGATCGCCGAGCGATCGGCGAGAGGCCCCCGAGAGGGGGGGACGCCGCGCGTTCCTGGCGGGGCAGGCTGAGGCCCCCAGGCCCCCGATGGGTCGATGCTTCGCAGCCTGGGCACCTTTGTCCTGTCGGCCCCCCCTCCTGAGCAAAAAGTCGGAGGAGGAAAAGGTACCCTAATTATACCTCTAAGTACCCTCCCCTCGTTTTCCCTTCTTGGGGGCCTCCTGCAAGGCCCTCGTCGCCACCGTTGGAATCGCCTCGGAATTCTGGTCAGAACGCACCCCAGGGGAGGTCCGGGGAGTAGCGGTATCAGTACTTTTTAAATTCCACAAAAAGGGGACACCAGACTTTGAGATCTCCGACGTCGCGGAGCAATTGCACCACCCTCCACAACGCCACGGCCGGTGAACTGCACGCCATCCTGCCGCGAGGCCTTCTTCGAGCCGGACCGATCTGCGCGGGCCCCGGGGCCCGAAACAAGGCCGACGCGCCCAAAACGAACAAAGACTGCGACGCAAGCGGGCCCTGGAATATCGGCTGCCAGCAGCCGACTTCCCCCCCGGCGCCCAGAGGCGCCGGGCGCAGCATCGAGGAGCGCGCGCGCTCTGAGCCGCGGGGCCGGCACCGGCCGCAGGCAGCAGTCTTCGGGACCCCCCCCACCCAGACACCCGGCGTTTCGACTTTTTCGAGACGCGGGCCCCCGACCTCTCGACCACTTCCCTGGGACCAGGTTTTTCATCCCGAGTCGTTTTTCGACGGCCCCGAGGCCGGGGAAGGGCCCCGAGGGGCCGAACACGATGGAAGACCTCCACCCCGACTTCTGTCGAGACTCTGGGCGCCTGGCTTCCGCGCCTCCCCCTCGTGCCCCCCGCAATTCGCCCCCCCCCGCGCAGGCTGGCGGAGCCCTGGCAGAGGCCCGGGTTCCTGGCCTCGAAGAGGTCCTCGCGGCTCCCGGCGCCAGTTCCGAACACCACGCGCCAGTGCTCCCGGGAGGCCTGCAGCCAGTGGTCCGCGGCCGCTGCCAGCTCCGGCACGGGCGTCGCAGCACCCGCCTCGGGCTCGTCGCCGAGCGGGGCGGCCGCCTCCGCGGCCGCGCGCCGTGCTTCGATCGCGAGGCGTGCCGCGATCATGGCCCCGCGGTAGGAGAACGGCTCCCGCGCGGTGACGAGCTCGAGGGCGCGCTCCCAGCTCGACACGGCCAGCTCGGGCACGCCCGCCGCGGACGCCGCCTCGGCCAGCGCGTCGAAGAAGAGCGCGAGCGCCGGGTCTCGTGGAGGGCTCGCCTCTTGGCCGTCGCCGCCTCCGCCGCGCGGGAGCAGGAGCTTCTCTCGCACCGGGAGCAGCGAGAAGAGGGCCGCGGTGTCGCTGGCCCGGCCAGCCCTCCACTCGTGGAGCAGCCCCTGTGCCCGCTCGGCGGCCGCCGAGGCCTCGCCCAGGAGCCCCTCCGCGCAGTCCAGCGCGTCCCGAGGCTCCGTCAGCCCGTGCTGGTCGCGCATCGTCCTCGCGCGCTGGGCGTGGGTGCAGCAGGAGTCGAGGTAGTTGTCCAGGAGCTCCTCGCCGGGCAGCAGCTCGCGGATGGCGCGGTACTGCACCCTCCTGGAGTCAAGTCGGGCCTGTCCGCCTTATACAGGGGGGATTTTGGACGAACATTGAACATACCCTAAAGGTACTGAAAAAGAGTCCCCCGACTATTTTGGGACTGTTTTTGAAGATCCCCCCCGTAGAGGGACGGGTCCGGCTTCGTCCTGGAGCCGGGCTCGAAGCTGCGGGCCACGTTCGGGCGCAGGAAGCTGTGGTTGATCAGGGAGCCCGTCGGCCACAGCCCGATCGGCCCGCCCGCCTCCGGCGGCCTGCCGTCCAGGGGCAGCGGGTCGGCGCTGTGCTTAAGTCGGGCCTGTCCCCCTGCAGGCCGACGGTGGACGAAAAATCGGAAAGAGCCGAAAAATCAGCATGATCGAACGATACTCACAACATCATCCCCAGACCGTTTTTTTTTGGATTATTTCTGAATATTCCTCCTGTAGAGGGACAGGCCCGACTTAACGCTGTGCATGTTGTGCGCGAGGACGCCCCGCACGCGCTGCCGCGCCGTGGCGGCCTCCGCCCCGGGGCCCGCGTACATGCCAGCGAGTGCGCGCCGCAGCGTCTCCTCCCCAGAGTCGGCGGTGGACCTCCCTCCCTTTAGTACACCTCCCCTTAGTAAAAACGGCCTGGGACCGAAACCGACGGACCTGGACCCGCAAAAATGACGGCCGCGACGCCCCCTCGCGAACCGAAAACGGCCAATTCCTCAATCGACGTGTCAGGGTAGGAGGTCCATCCACCCCCGACAGAGATCCGACGTCGTGATTTTTTCAGTGCGCGGTCCCCGGAAGTCTCGACCCCTTCCCCAGCGCCGGATTTTCACCCTGAGTCGTTTTTTTTGGACGGTCCCGAGGCCCGGTATAGGGGCCCCATGGGGGCCCAAGTTTACGAACAACGCCGTCGCGATTGTTTGTCAATGCGTTGGATCTCTGAGGTCTGTGCGTGTGTGGAGGTGGTGGGTCCCAGAGGAGGCCCAGGTCTTGGACGCTCTGCTCTTCCACATCCAGGCGAGCTTTTCTTCGGTCTCGGCCTCCAGGGTCCAGAAGCGGGCCCTTGGGCAACCAAGCGCGGATCCAGGACGCAAAACTGCGCGTTGTTCAATTCTAATCGTGCTCATTTCTAATTTTGCTCGTTTCGAAATGTTCCTGGCCCCCTAGTGGCCAGGAAGATGCCCGGGATAGAACAATTAGAAATGAAAGGATCTTGGCCCCCCCAAAACCGAAGAACTTTCGAATACTTAGACATGAACAATGTGTACCCGCAGGGGGAGGTTCGGGACCTCTGGGGCCGCGGATTGCACAAACCAGGTCCGGGGATGTCTGGCAAGGGTCCCGAGTGCTTCGCCGCCTTCGAGTCCCCGGGGCCCTTCATGGGCCCCGACACCACCAAGAATGCTTCAGGAGGAAGCTCTGGCCCTGAGCAAAACCCTGGGGCCTGGCGCCGCGTCCCTCAAGACGCCCCTTTCCCGCATGGCCATCCCCGCTCTCGCCGCGCAGGACTGCCACGCAGGGGTCTTCCGGAAGCTGCGCCCCCGGCGCGTCGCACACGGCGAGGAGGTAGCGCTCCAGCGCGGGGTAGTTGGTGGCCAGGATCACCGGCGCCTCCTCGACCAGCAGCGTGCCGAGCGCCACCCGCGCGTCGGCCGCGCCGCCGCTCACGAAGATGCCCCGCCCGCCTTCCCGCCGTGCCCCCGGCTCGCCGCCCCCCCTCGCCGCGTCCAGGCCCTCCACGATCTGCACGCGGCTGTGCAGCCACACCTCGGGCGGGGGGGCGTGGCGCCGCGGCGGCGCGGGCGAGGCTGGCGCTGGCGCGGCTCGAGCGGCCTGCCCGCTCGAGCCCGCGCCGCCGCCCCCGCCCGCGGCCGCGCCGTGGCTCGGCAGGGCCTCGGCGACGCCGCCGCCCGCGGCGGCCATCGGCGCAACGCCGCCGCGGCCGCCGCCCGGGCGCGGCCCGCGGGGGCCCCCGGCGCGCCCGGGAGGGCACCGGGCGGGGGCCGCGGCGCGGGCCGACCTGCCCACGCTCGAGCCGCATGCGCCAGGCTGGCTTCGGACCTTCCCCACGTAAGGCTTGCGCTCAGGAGCTCTTGCTCAGATGTTCTTTTGCTTGTTTTCGGATGAGTTGTTGTTCTATATGTATAAGTTTGTATGTCTATCTACATATGTATGTATGTATGTATATATATATATATATATATATATATATATGTAGATGTTTTTTTTCTTCCAGAAAGCCGCCTAGCATCGCACGGCAAAAGGTGGTGAGGAGGTGGTGAGGAGTTCTTCACCACGCACGCCGCGGCAGGCTGCTTCTCGATATGCGGGGCCGTCGGGACCAGGGCGGGGAAGCGATCGAACGGGATGTGGGAAAAATTGTTTCGGATCCGCCTGGGGCCTTCGGATGGCGCTGGGGATGCCTCCGCGGGCGAGCGAGCCACCACTGCGAAGCACCCCCTGGGCCTGTCGAGGGCGAGGGCCTGGCGGGCGAGGCCGTGGTCTCTCTCTCTCCCCCCCCTCATTTTTTTGGGTTTCCCGAACGCGAGAGGATCGCGCACGCAAGCTCCGAGAACGAGTTTGAACTCGCCTCTCGAGCAGCCGATGCTGCACCACACCTGGAGGGGCAGATGATCGAGCCAGGATCGATGGGTTCGGAACTGGGTGACGCTCCAGTGCAGCCCCTGGGATGGGAGGCTCTCTCTCTCTCTCTGTATACATACGCCGTCGTGTGGGAAGCATGCCTGCATGCTGCGGGACAGGAACGATGCGTGAGGTATGGAGGACAAAGAAGACGTATGGAGGAGCCTTGGCGTCCTTATGCGTGGGTGGTGCCGTGCAATCATGTGTATGTGACTGTTGGTACATGTGTTTTGCTTCAGTTGTTGGCGTAGCCATTCTCAAGCCTCGACCAGGTATTGACGTCTTGAACAGTTTGCACCCATGTGGTGTCATTTGGTTGTCCTTGTGTGCTGCTCGGTGCGGAAGGTGGGTGTAGGCCTGGGCTGCGCCGCCGCAGGAAGGTGTTGAGTCTGTCGTCCCATCGCTTGTGCTGGCCCCCGTGTTGTCGCAGCCCACGCTGTCGATGGTTGGCGTCCGGCCGCCACTGCAGTACGCGCCACGTCCATCTGCTGCGCTCGTGGATTGCAGCCTTCGGCGCCATGCGCGAACGTTGCCGGCTCCCGTGAGCGACTTGCTGACTACTTCCGCCGAGTGGGCGGTGCAGCTCGCAGGTGGAAGCAGGCGGTCAGGGCATGAGCGGCGTGCTAAAGGCATCCGCTTCCGCGCACAGTTTCAGCCATTGCTCATGCGCTGTGGCCGGCGCAAAGCTTCAGGACTGGACTGGCTGGACTGGCGCCATTCGTCACGACCGTAGTCTGCAAATCGTAGTCGCCATGTGCCACGACAGCACCATCACGACGTTGAGAGGCCGTGGAGGAGGAGGAGGAAGAGGAGGAGGAGGAGGAGGAGGAGGAGGAGGAGGAGGAGGGGGAGGAGGAAAAGGAGGAGGAGGAGGAGGATAATGAGGAGGAGGAAGAGGAGGGGGAGGAGGAGGAGGTGGAGGACCAGTGCAAACCCAAGAGTCATCAACGATGTCACCGAAGGCCCCAGTCGCAGGGTTCGCATGGCAGCCCCGCCCCATTTTGGCGCACCCTTTACGAGGATCGTTGCCCCATAGGGAGCTCCACCGAAGGCGCCAGTGGAAGGGTTTGCATGGCGGCGCGGCCCCGCCCCATGTCGGCGCACCCCTCACACGGTTCTTGGTCTCATAAAGAGCTCCACCGAAAGTGCCAATGGTAGGGTTTGCATGGCGGACCCGCCCCATGTCCGCGCACCCCTCACGAGGATCGGAGTGATCACTCTGTGTCAGAGCTCCAGGGCCCGAAGGCGGACCCAGGGGGCCGAGATCGATATCCAGAGGCGAGCCCACGCAGCGTTTGAGCGAGCCCAGACCTAGCCGGAAACTCCCTCCAGCCACCATCTGCCTCTCGACTCCGTCCCTATTGTCTTGTCTTTTGCTCCTCCTCCTGCGCTCTCCCGTTCCATTCTTTCTCCCCGTGCTCGTTTTCTTGGAGGGCGCACGGCTACTGGTGATGGCGAGGCCGTTCCGGTCAGGTTTAGGGGGTCAGGATGAGGAGGATTATGATGACCATACGAGCATGAGGAAGGGGATGATGAATATCAGGGGGTGAGCAGGCCGCGATCCCGCCCCCTGAGACCTCTTTTGTTCCCAACCATCCTGTGGTGTTGGGTCCTCGTTTTGAAGGAACGGTGCCCGCGTTTCCTCCTCCTCCTCCTCCTCCCTCCTCCTCCCCCTCCTCCCTCCCCCATGCGTTACACCCACCCACTACAACGTTTCGTGGCCCCATAGCGAGCTCCACGTAAGGCCCCAGGGGGGGGCACCACATGCGTCTGCAACGCCCAGTACAGCGTTTCGTGGCCCCATGGGGAGCTCCACGTAAGGCCCCAGAGGGGGGGTACCACGTGCGTCTGCCACACCCAATACAACGTTTCGTGGCCCCATAGGGAGCTCCACGTAAGGCCCAAGTTGGGGTGGCCACATGCGTGCGCCACACCCAGTACAACACATTATGGCGTGATCATCTTGCTGTCCGTGTTGCGGAGGCCAAGGGCGCGCGCTGCGCTGGGAGCGCGGGCGCAACCAACAGCCAGCGAGTCGTCGGCTTCCTCGCCCTTCGGAAGCCAGGCTTGCAACGTGTCGCTGGAGCTGTTGAAGAGGGCCTGCCCACTCATGATCCGCGTCATCGCATCTGATAAAAGACCCACCCCTAATAGGGGGCGTGCTGCTCGATGTAGGATTGCGCACAGGTCACGTCGATCGGCTGGGCGTCGATCGGGGCTCAGTGCTCGATCAGGCGCTCTGTAACCAAAGTGGCATCGCTGGTGGCATTGGTTGACTCTGATTGGTGTTTGACAGCGCGCAGCACAAGCCGACGGTTGAGAGGATACCACATAGCAGAGCGGCGCTCCACAGCCGCCAGCTGGTGACGAAGGGCCCGTGGAGCGCGGGGGCGAGAGAGCTGCTCCTCATGGCGCGGCCGAAGCCCATCAGCGCGTCGACGTTGAATGCTGTCGCACCAATGCTTGATGGGGGCGTTGTGACGGAGCCGAGCCCGTTGGTCTCGGATGTCCAGGAAGTCGTGAGCAGATTCGTGGTTGCTGATGAGCTTCTTGGCCAGTTTCGCGTCAGTCCTCCGCAGCTCTTGCCATCTGCCTCGCCAATGTATAAGTAGCACAGCTTCAGGGGCGCGTGCATGTAGGCGGTTGCGAATGCCTACAGCGACTTTCTTGGTGGTCCACTTGTGAAGTTCGATCTGCCGCGGGGGGTTCTTCTCCTCGTAGTTGAGCTGGTTGCAGACGCACTGCGGCTGATTCTGGAGAAGCTCGGGCTCGAACAGATGACGAGGTATGCGATGTGCGCTGCGCGGCTTGGCAACGCGCTGGGTGGGCTTGGCCGTGGGGGCCGCGTGGTCGCTGACAGAACGGTTGGCGAGATCCTCGACGGTTCAGGGGTAAGCTGGGTGGGGGCCCACCCAGGCCAGCTGACCCACCC